CGTCGTCCATCATTTGTTTGGTCATTTACTGTTGCAAACTTTAGCGATTTCTGTTTAGGCTGATGCTTGTCGGGTTTTCGTGCCTTTTCTAACTGAAGTGCGAGTTGGTCATTGTAGCGAGGATGAAGATACGATGTCTGCTTACTCCTCTCCGCGCGCTGTGGATTACGAAAGAGAATCTGCATTTCCCTCGCGCGATCGCGATCGCGAGTACTCTGCAGGTGGGACTAAGCCAAAAATAGCCAAGTGTGTCTTTTATAATTACAAACTTCGGTTGACCACAAGTAATGGAAAAAAAAACACTTAGTAACCAAGCTTCCAGTACCGTGAATTTCCATTATCCAGCAATTGTTTCCCTATCTGGTTATTTCAATAGTCACTTGGCTAGTCACCATAAATTCAACAAGAGGGTCTTTACTCAGAGGTATCTGCTTTATCTGGCACGGAGCTTGAACAATAGTATGATAACAATATGGAACTTGTCAACAACCGTATGCCTCTTTCAGACAATTATAATTGTGAAGTTTGTGTGGCTGCATGACTATTTGTTTTTTTTACTGTATCCCACGTTTTCAGGTCTCAGCAGTTCGCCACCCAACAGTCCTCATATCCGGACTGATGCTCACGAAATGCATGTTGAATACTGGCTTGGCCGTGATCAATCGAATGTAATTTTTCGTATCTATTTTCGCTTCCATACTTCACCAGAACATAATTTCTAGGAGAATTTTAACGCAACGAATGCACAAAGTTTGACACCAAACTCCAAGAAAGATCTCAGTAAGGGATCCATGAAAGCAACTTTCCGGACTCTTGTCATCACACGGTAGTTGGTTTTTTGCACTCAAGAATTTGTTAACTATTGCAAGCATTCAGCAGAGCATGTAATCAGCCACTCCTATCACTATCTTTCGTGAAAGAGAAGAAAAAGGAGAAGATGCTTCAAAAATTAGGAATGAAGAAGGGACAGGTCTGCTTCCAGATACGCAGCTTTACATATATTCTTACTTTCTTA